CACCCAACCTCGTTCCCAGGGCTTTCGTATGAGAAGGCGAGAGACAAGAAAGCCCTGGGCCGGTCATGTGACTACCCAAAAAATGGCAGTATTTGACAGCTACTCGTCAATGAGAGGCAAATAAATAAACACAAATATAAAACCTTGCGTAACCTGTTTACACTGTACAGGAATATACGGATTTGCTTGTTTCGCCGGACACCAACACTTGCCATTAAGGATCGGCAATGCTTGCCTACTAATTTTATCCCCTTCACAATCTTTGTTTTATTTTATTGTATTGTTGCAATTTTCAAGTATGTAAAACTCAGTGGCATGACGAATCTTGTAGAGACTACATCGGCCTAGGCGTAGAGCTATTAAGTAAACAGGGCCTAAATTAATTTAGTAGTTTCATTTAATTGTTTGTCTTGCTTTTATTTGTCAGTGCAGAATGTTGTAAATTAAAATATTACTACAATGCAATATGCATAGTATTTCATCAGACATCTGCACGACATTATAAAATACTTTACAAGGAAAACTACAGCTTAAATAATAGTAGATGTTTCTTGTTTTGTCAGGAAACAACATCACAGCTCACATCGACATGGCTTTTGAGTTTTGTAACCGGCCGAGGCATAAGTAAATCATGCAGTCCGGAAAACGTCTTACTTTGAAAGATTATTTTGCAAAACATACTCGTACACAAAAGAATCATAAAAAAAAAAATGTTGAATTGTTATTGTCAACTGTCAAGCAAGTTCAGTTATTTTTAGACAATATGGTGTTAGCCAATCACAATGCAAAATTGACCAGACCAGGGCTTTCTCGTCTCTCGTCTCATCCTCATACGAAAGCCCTGGGAACGAGGTTGGGGTGCACCTACTAAGTGTATCAAGTTTCATTGAATTTTATTAAATGGTCACCAAGATATCAGACTTTTCTGTTATTGCCATTATCTCAAGTACAACCTAATGACGTCACAACTCAAATATAGAAAGTGCGATAACTTGGGAATGAGATGAGATATGAAGAAACAGTAAACATCATTCTTCATCATTCCAGCAGTACTTTTTAGAAAAACAATAAAAAATGTTGTAAAAATTTATTTGTATAGGCACTTTAAGAAAGGTAGGCCAGATACAGACTGTACTACTTCTCCAATCAATGAATGAGCTTGATATCGGTGAGCTCAATCATGGTGAAAAATTCCCTGCTAAGTTTCTTCCCTATGTTACCACAGTTCCTCAGACCTCTCAACTTTGCAGAGAAGTTAAGAGTGAGATTGGGGATGTGGATGACACCTTTGTAAAAGTCCGGGGCTGGGGATCTGAAATGGCATTTCATACATTATGAGAGTTGGTGTTTTTTAATGAAATATGTCATTGCTTCATAACGTCCTTTATTGAGACAAGGCACTTCAGTTACAATAACTGTATTTCTGTGACATACAGTAATGAGTTTTAATTTGCCTTTGATAATTTACATATAGAATTCTGCTCCGACTGATTCTGCCTTTTGTCCACCGTATTTACATATGCGTACTATTTTGTATCCATGCAAATTGCGGGCAAAAGCCAAAATGTCTGAGAAAATATGTTAGAAAACCTCCACAGATGAGATATTTAGTTAACCTCGAAAATCGGGTTATAACTGATATATTGCCCTCAGATGCTGCGCGTCCTTGGGGGGCAATATATCAGTTATAAACCTCCTTCTCGGTTTATAACTCTAACTTAAGAGAGGTGAAACTGTGAACACAATCTCCGGGCTTCCTTTTGCAAGAGTTCCAGAAGGGTTTTCATTAGTCTTTACAGAATTATTAAGTTCATCAGCTGCTGATAACATTGAATGGCAATTAGCTACATTATTTACTAGTTAATTTCAGTATTATGAAGTCAATAATCACTTAGATAAGGCCATAGGGTTAGATAGAGCGAATACAAAATTTGATACAAATGATACACAGTTCTTGTACATACCATTGTATTAACCAATAAATGATCACATTTTGCAGCCTACAGACAGGAGAACCATGGCAAAGCTTCTACCCATGGCTGGCTGTACAAACATGTGGGGGAGGAGCTGTGATACCTTGCCAGTATCACATCTCTGTCAATAAAGCCAAAGATATGTGTTTTTGACAATTAGAGATGACATCGAACAAATGGCAGAAAAAATAACATTTACCACAACTAAACTTTTGTAAATATATTTACATTAAAATGTGATTAAAGTTCAATATTTAGCATACAAATTTAGCTTAGCTGAGCACCAAAATCACAATCATTTACTGCACATGAATTGCTGTCCAGAAACTGGACAAGCTGTTCAGAAACTGGACACAAATGTTGCTAACGACTTTGATCAATGTCATCCATCTCGCGATCTTTAAAAGATGAGATATCGCGAAAAAACTACTTTGTGTCCCAAAACTGGACAACATACTGTACAAGTATTTATGGACATCATCTAGGTAAATTCTTCTTTGTCGAAATGCTGATAGCCCCCCTGCTATATTAATACAAAATTTGTCTGACACCGGAACTCAATGTCTGATGGCTATTCATCCGATATGATGCACAGTTTTGTTTTGCACAGAGTTACACGCGGGATTGGAGTCGACATGTGATTCAAACATGTTCATGATTTCAAACATGTGCGATATGATAAATATGGGGGACTACACATCATTGAAATTAGGGCAAATATTTTCCTCTTTTGAAGAGGTCAAAGCTGTGATCAGTCGCTATGAAAAGAGGAATTATGTCAACTTGTATGTAAACGACTCCAGACCAATTTCTTCGACAATTAAAAGAATGCCGAGCAAGGTTATCAAAGCCAAGTTGCAACACTCGCACATCAATTACGCTTGCATTGCTGGTGGCAGAACGTTTAAAATCAAAGTCAAAAGGAACAAGGCTGAATCAAAGGATAGTTTTTTCTTTAAAATTCTCAATGTAAAGTTGTTACCTTTGTCTATAAACTTTTAGGGATTTTTGATCGCTTGTTGATAGCACGTTTAGAAAGGATTGCAATATGGAAGTGAAGTTGAGAGCAACAAAAGATGGCAACTTTCTGGAAGTGGCTGTCCTCGATGAGATCCACAATCACGAATGCGGTGAGGTATGTTGTGTTTAGATCTAATTTGGTTTATACTGAAATATGCTGTTTATTTGTTGTTGATAATCCAATGCAATTATCAGCTTTTCATTGTCAAATTGTGACATTAGGCCTCGCTCAATTGCTAGGGTGAACAGCAATGTGACCGAATACAAGTCGTTTAGCCCCCAAGTCAATTTGTCCCCAATAGAGGTGTGCGTTGGATTGGGTTGACCTCTCTGAATCCAATGGTTTGTCTAAGTTCTCAATCCGAATCTGATTCGAAGATGAGAAAAGTAATCCGAATCGATCTGAAAAATGTTTATAAAATCCGATCCGATGCTAAAATTCGTAATCCGATCCGAACTTAAGTTGTGTACAGTGTGCGTTAATTTTTATGAACATATTTTTTCATGATCATAAACCATATATTGGAAATAATAAATTTCCAGCAAAAATAAGCCGATACGAATCCGATAAAAATTGCAGGACGATATCACATAATTATGCCTTATAGCGTTTATACAGTAACAGCAGTTTATATTTTATTAGAATTAGCATAGAAAAAACACCAACTAGTCACAAATGTGTTATTCAGTATAATAAATCATGAGCTTGAGCTGGGTTTACATTTTAAAACATCTTAAAGTTTATCACTAGATTCACTAATAAACCTCATTGTCAGACTTCATGATACATAAACCTATCCAAACAAAACATCACAACATTCCTAAATTTCCTATATATAACAAACTATGTAAAATTCTAATTGTTAAACTTACGGTTTTGGTTCTGTTCAAGATGCTAGATTTTGACAAAGTTAGTTATATGTGAGAGAGATGAGTGAGTCGGACGAAGACATTTATATAACACAAAATAAGTTTAGCGGCGTGGTATTTACAAAGTGAGTTGGATGAAATTCTCAGTAATACAGCAGGAGAGTTTGTTTACAACAACGAAAGCGAAAAACAATCTCTGGACAAGCGTATCAAAGCGACAAGTTTTTCGAGAGGAGTTACTGCCCTAAATGACTCAGAGGTGTTGGCGAGAAATAGCGAACGCATACTACTAAACACTAAAAAGACAACATTGTGGTGTTTAAATGTTTGGGACGAGTGGCGAAATGAATGAAAAACACTGATACAGATAATTCTGCTGATGCTGGTGACCGATTTTGCATAGTTCCGCTGGTCGATTTGTTACATTTATGTACTGACTACAAACTGTGTTTCTGGCTGAGCGAATTTGTTTACGAAGTTTGTGAGAGAGGGGGTGATGAATATCCACCAAACAGCATATACCAAGTGTGTGTTGGTATTCAAAGACATTTAAGCGATAATCATAGGCCAGAACTCGAAATATTCAAACATGCGAATTTCAAGCTTTTTGAAGATGCTATCGATTCGCAGATGAAATCATTGACAAGAAAAGGAGTCGGGGTGACAACAAAGCAAGCAGAGCCAATTATCATGGAGAGAAGAATCATGGGGGTGGTATTAAAGATCAAAGGGTCAAACCAAAAGTCGTTGAACAGCATATCAATCTAGAGCAAAGTGAAAGGTGTGTTGTGAGATTATTAAAAAAATATATTTCAAAATGCCCAGAAAATATTAAGTGTAATCAAGTGTTTTATCTTACACCAATAAAAAACTGTAAACCTGCAAGTGAAGGGTGGTACACTAAAGTGCCAATCGGCAAAAAATACTCTTTGCAATGTACTTTCAAATTTGTGTAAAGAGGCTGGAATTGAAGGGTAGAAAACGAATCGTTCTTTAAGAGCAACAGCTTGCTCGTTAGCGTTGTTGGAAGGGGTGCCTGGAAAATTAATTATGCATCGAACAGGCCATAAAAGTTTACTACACACGTATCAGAGAGTTAGTGCAAAAGATAAGGAGTCTCTTTCTGACGTTTTGCAGGGAGGAAAGGACTGTTTTATGGACGAGCCAATAACAAAAAAAGTCAAAGTAGATAAGAGTGCTCAGGAGGGTAAACCGTATAATATCAATTTGATGAATTGTTTGGTTTTATTTAAAATGTTATGTGTGATATGTGTGAACTGTTTATTATTAAAAGTGTGTATCTTCCAAATGTTGTTGTTGTTTTTTACTTTTTGTGCTGCAAAGACATTGCAGGTAAGTATTAGACGTGAATATTAAAGAAGATTATTAGAGTGGAATATTAGAGGGAATATTAATCTATTGTTTCGTCATTTGTTATCAGTGATTGTTTTCAGCCCCGCTCTTCCCCTGTTGATATCAAAAACCGCACTCGGCTTTCAGACAGTTGGATATATTCCCCGATAAGAACAAAGGAAACCGAGCAATGTGAAAATTAAGAGAAATATACATCCAAATAACTCAAAACGCTTTTTAGAAATATGTCAAAAGAACTCAAAACACTTTTTATGCTAGGTGTTCCAAAAATAACTGGACACTGTTTGATTTCATATAATGTAAAATCATACACATTTTCATAATTTACAATTTCAATAATGTAAATCATATGCAATATATCAAACAGTGTCCAGTTTTTTTGGGACATCTGGTACTTTATTGTCAGCACACTTGGCATAATATAGTAGCTAACTAGCTATTACTCCACTGAATCCACTTCGACCAAATTGGTCGGCTCATTTGGCTCCAAAGCCTTCCAGGCACTTCTTGACATCTCTCTCCTCCGCAGAGGTTATTTATTCTATTTAGGTTCTCTTCGGATATTTCTCGGAGTTAATCGCGATAGGGCACTGGACAAAACTAATGCGGGCAAAGACGAAATGGGAGGCGAGCGAAAAAATAACCTCTGCCAAATTGCTGTCGTTTTCCTGCTGAAAGTGTTGTTTTCTTGTTCTAAGTGTTTGAAACACTTAATCTAAACAGACTATAGTTGAGATATTTTTCCTGCGCTTACACTAATGCTTTATACCTAGGATACAGTTGTACAATTGTTGAAATTACCTGAAAAGATAATTGTTTTATCGTTTTTCTGAAATGAAATGAACAAAAACGAAGAAGAATCAGCAATCGATAATGCTCTTCAGGAGATGTCACTTAACGGTTTGTTTCTATGTCTTGATATAATCTTCTTTGATATAATCTTCGCTTTTAAAATATATATTTTGCCAATGCAATGGCAACGAAAAATTAAACAACTCAATTTGTGTTTTGTTTTTGTTCTGTTTGATCGTCGTGCATTTTCTCACTTTTTGCTTATCGATGGAGAGGAAACGTCTTGTCTTAGTGATGATTTATTGGTCAAGAAAGACAGAGAGTTCAGAGTTGACACCATCTAATGCATTTGTCCATTGTATCGGCATCAGCATATCGGTACTAAAATAGAAATACCGATGTTACAAACTGTTATTAAATATTAATGACTGGTTATACTTATGTGTTGCAGTTAATAGTTAACATTATTTTTATTACAAATAAACAGTCACTAGCACAGTAAATATATGCTAGTTTGTTGCATGTATTTGCAGCATTTATTTTGATATTTTCAGTGTTTAGAAACAAATGAACTGAATTAAAATTCAAACTGAACTGTCATGTCATCATCTTTGAATTTTGTGAAATGACATAGAATATCGGTATTGGCAAAATATCGGTCCTTCACGCCCTGAGGCAGGCTGACCTGACTAATCTTGTCTAATTCCCCATCCCATAGGGACATAATTTGAAAAAAATACCTGCTCCAGATAAAATTGACTTTAAAATGATCAAATTCAGGCTCAACATCACCATTGAACAGGACGATCTTAGGCTGCAAGCGGGCTGTATACATTAATTCTCACATAATGCCCCACATACCAGGGTTGCGGATCCATAAGAGGAAAATCCCCAGCCTAATCAGGCGAAACTAAGAGTCAAAAGAGGGAAAAACGCCTCACATGTCCCCACCTTTACCGAAGGCTGGGGTTACAATTGACAAGTGCATAAGGTGTTAATGTAACCTGGTGGCAAAAGAATGTGTATTACTGCAGCAATATTAACATTAAGCTTTTTCAGTTCACCTAGCATATAGATTGGCCTGAATCCAACCCCCCCCCCCCCCAAGAATCAATACAATAGGCTTCATCTATAGTAACAAATGACAGTTTCTCATTACTTTGCCAAGTTTTTACAACACTTGGCATTACTGGACACAATTACATATTGTGAATCGCATGAAGTTAGGTAATGGATAACACTGTCTGACTGTCAGCTTCCTTTTTGACAGATGAACTGAAGTACAATGATTGTATTCCTTTGTCTCTTAAAGTCGACACTTGTTCTTCCATCAAAAATTTAAGTGATTGTATTACAATGGTCAATCCTTCTTTAATAATTGTAGAAATGTCATATAACATGCTTGTGCCTCATCCATTTGGCATAAGCACAACACAATCATCACTATTTAATATTGTTTGAATAGCTTCAAGCTGGCCAGCTCTAAATGTTTGATATCCAAACACAGTTTTAAGCATATGTCGTGGCTTAATTGTCCTCTTCAGATACATCTGAAGGAATTTGGATGTTTAAGTGGTGCGAAATCAATTGACTTGGCACATATGTCGGTAACTGACTGCAATCCATCTATAATAACGTGAAAAAGAAGATAGTTTACATGTCAACGCATTAATAAAAGAATTATTGGCATACCAATAAAGATTTTATTGCTTCCTGCATCTAGTGTTAGAGATAGCGAGCTATTGTAATGAGACACGTGGTATTAGCCCCGATAATTTGTAGTCACATGAATGTAATGCACAGGAAGCGGATAGGAGTGGTGATATAATCTACAGCAGCATGTGCACCAGTTCGTTCTACTCTTCAATTTGGTCGCGCAAGGTCAACTCTCTGGCTGAAGTAATTTGATAAAGTATTCCTATTAATTTTTCCTTCTCTGATATTCTTATCATGTCAAGTTGTGTCCCAAGTATTTTAATTCTCGGTCATTCTTTTGTACGTCGTTTGCGAGATGATTTAGATGCGCACTTTGATACATGTGCGGCTTCTAATTTTCATCTCCCAGAATCGGGCTATATTACTTTGTTAGGGATGGGTGGCCGAACCGTCAAAAAGGTCGTTAAATACGATTTGCAATCGGTGCATAAGTATAAGCCCAATATTGTAATCTTGGAGCTTGGGACTAACGATTTGTCGACCCACGCCCCGAGGTGGTAGGGTCTAAAATCGACGACCTTGTGCATGCTTTAAGGCACACATACAACGTTCGGGTTGTTGGGGTGTGCCAGGTTATAAACCGCAATATTCCTTATGCAAAAGGATCGGACCTTGGCTTTAATGCCAAGGCCGCTATTTTGCGGCAATATTTGTCTGTGGTCCTTGCTGAGGAAAATGGGATTTTTACTTGGGATCATCGGGAATTTTTTCGAACTGATTGTGCATTGCTATCCTCCGATGGCATGCATTGTAATGCCCAAGGACAGTACTGTTTGTATCGGAGTTATCGTGGGGCTATCTTGAAAGCTCTCAAACTTTTGTAACCCGTGAACCCCGTTTTGTACTGTTGTTTCTGTTCAATTTTGCTTTTTGTATTGACAATGCCCTAATTTGTAGAGGGCCTCTCTTGTCACACTCAGATTATGCAGTATATATCCTCTCAGTACTTGATATTGATATATATTATGCTTATATTTGTTATATTATTATGGGCTAGAGCGACATGACTGTTTTCAGATGCCCACGTTGAGATTTCAACATTGGGTTTTTCCTGCACAGGGCATATTCATGATTATCTAGCTGGTTATATATACGTATATAGAATGTGTTTCCCTATAGTAGTCTGTTTCGTCTTTTGTTCAGCTAACATACATGTATACGTCCTCGTACTTGCTTTGTGCAATGTTAGGTATATATGAAGGGCTGATCCTGTGTTTGGAAAAATGCATGTCTAAGCGGGATAGTGCAATTTATTGTTTTCAGATGCCCACAGTTGAAATCAATATATTATGGGATGGTGCAGCATGTTGTTTTCAGATTGCCCGTTTTTATATTATTTTGCAGCACTTTAAACGGATGATCTATTGCGGCTACCTTCGCTGTATGCCATGATTATTCCGCTGCGTTGTTTGTTTGTCAATGTTTAATGTGGTAGATATTGCAGCAATTCTTAAGGATGATCTTTTGCGGCTACCTTCGCTGTATGCCATGATTATTCCGCTGCGTTGTTTGTTTGTCAATGTTTAATGTGGTAGATATTGCAGCGATCTTAAGGATGATCTTCCGCGGCTACCTTCGCTGTATGCCAATGGCTGCTACACCATCAGCGTCGCCGAACATCACACCGCCTGATCTCTCGGAGGAAGCAATGCAGATAATTGTCTCGGCTGTGTCACAGGCCGTCATCGTGTCATTTGGGGCAAGTCAACCAACTCTCCCAGTGCTTCCGTCCATGGAACCAGAACAGAGAGAAGTACCTCTAGTTGTAGGGTCCGATAAAACTCGTAATATAGCAGATGCTACCACTATGCATAGGCCGGTAGCATCTGCTTTGCATCACATAACAGGTGAGACCGAATTTATTAACGTCTCACCGTCAGCGGGGTCGGGCTCCGCCAAATTTTGCTCAATTAGTGTGCCCATCGATGCTAATGTTAGTGCTAAAGTTAAAGCGAAAATATGGGTGCACAAATTTATAGATTTTGGTGTTTTTACTGAGCTCAGGGGCAGGTGATACCCGGTATCACTTGTCTGTGAGCTCTCAAGCTGGTTCCTCACTCCCTGCTTTATCTTTAGAACTGTCACACAAGCCGAAGGCCATTCTCAATATCGAGGCATGGACTTCGGCTTTTCAAATCTTCATTGGAGTCTACACTGCAAAATTTCCCTTGGAGGCCCCAATACTAATGTAATACGGGGAGGTAGTGTGGGATTTGGCCACACGAGGGGCTGATTGGTGTTTGTATGACACACAATTTCGTCTCTTGCGGCAAAGCAATCTAGCTGAACTACCTTGGGGTTATACTCACTGGGAACTTTGGATCCGTGCACAAACTTTCGGTCATGCGCGTTTGAGCAAACCCCAATCAAATATGCGCATGAGTTTGAACAATTCGTCCTTGTCGGTCGCTGGACCCTTTGTTCCTAGGGGGTTTTGCCGCAAGTTCCACCGGGGTGCTGAATGTTTAGGGTGTAACTACAAACACAACTGCTTTAAATGTGGTATTGTTCACCCGGCTATTTGTTGTAATTTTCGTGGCCAAAAGCCCTCCTCTGGCTCAGCCCCAAGTGCCGCCAAGTCCCGTACTGCCAACACCGGTTTTAATTGACAATCTCTACCCGCTATTATGTGGATACAATGTGTGATTGGTGTTAAATTTATATAATGGTTTTATGTTTGGTTTTCCCCTTCATTTTGAAGGATCTTGTATATCAATTTTTGGTCCTAATCTTGTTTCCGCGCAACAGAACCCTGAGATAGTTAGTGCTAGACTCTCGAAAGAATTGGCGGTCGATCGCCTGGCTGGGCCTTTCAACAGTCCACCCTTTCCTAATTTTCGTGTTTCCCCCTTGGGGCTGGTACCTAAAAAAGCCCCTGGAGAATATCGCTTAATCCACCATTTGTCTTTTCCAAGTGGTGAATCTGTTAATGATGGCATTCCTCACGAGCATTCAACTGTACATTATGCTTGTGTTCATGATGCCATTAAAATTATCAAACAATTGGGCCGCGGCTGTTTCCTAGCAAAAACGGATATCAAGAGCGCATTTCGTATTATCCCGATAAGGCCATCCGATTATGATATTGTAGGAATGTTTTGGCAAGGGAAGTATTACTATGATCGCGTTATGCCCTTTGGCTGTGCGTCATCTTGTCGCACTTTCGAGA